TCATTCTCCTGTTGCCACTGTAACTTTGGATTTTTATAGGTTCCCTGCTTGCCAGTCTTTCCTCTAAATGCATATTTAAAAAAAACCAACAAACCTACTGTCAGAGAAAGGCATAAACATGGTCACAAAGCTCTGTAATTGCAGAAGGATGTTGCCTGATTTCAGGGGTTATTTAACTATAATAGTAAGCATGATTTGTTCTCACAACAGCTCCATCCAAAATCATTGAGTACAAAGTTCTTTGAATATGGCTCCAATTAGGAATGTAAGAACCAGGCCTGCTGAGGGCACACCGAGGTTGTTGAGATATTTGGCACCTATGAGCCCTTAAATCAAGATTCTGCTCTCATATAGTGCTCAGCAGGAGATTTAGCTTTCTCTTTGCAAACTGGAAGTGTGGTTGTGGTGATATAAGGAGGACAAGTGAGAAGTTCTCAGGCAGTTTGGACACTAAGGAGATGCTGTCAGAGATAGTCACTCTACAACTCTGTTGTGAGTTATTGGAAGCTGAGGGCAAGGAGGGGGACCTAACCTCGTCTTTGCACAATGGCAGGCATAAGCTTAAAATCAATATGATTCTATTAACTTTCCTTTTTGATCCCATGAGATATATCTCAGTTATAGACTGGTGAAACAGGGTTTCATTTTCAAGTTCCTGCCTATGCAAAATTTGTTGGTTGCCAGGAGGACTGCACGCCTTACAGCACGTGCTTCACCCATCCTCTTCAGAGCGTGAGGAGTGGCTGCTCTTGCCATGTCAGTACAACAGACTTCTGCCAGGAAAAACCACTTGTGTCCACGATGTCTGAATGAGGGCAGTTCTCATGGCAACCACACTTTATCCACAGAAATGTGCATTGTTTTCAGGCACTTTCCCCTCCTGTCTAGAAATGATGTAAAATCTGAGGGAGCAGAAGAGCAAGGAAGAAACCTAATTGACATGCAAGCGCCAAGCACAGTGACATTTCCTTACCTTTCATGCTGTTAGCTACTGTTTCACAAATTATTAGGCAGGCCAGAGTTTTACAATATGAAACATGCATAAAATGCCCATAACATAAATGTTTTATTTTAGACAGAAATCAAGGTAACGCTGGATATTTTCTGTCAGATATGTCAGAAACCAACAGCTATATTGCTGTGTGCCTCAGGAGTTCACTTCAGTCTCTTTCTCCCTACCTCCTTTCCTTCTCCCCTTCTCCTCTAAGTTTGAGGAAGCTTAGCAGGGGAAGGGTGATCCCATGGGAAGCTGGGAAGAAGAGAGGAACCCCTTTGTTGATCCCTATGGCCAGAGCCCCCTGCTCCCACTCCAGCCCAGCATCCCCGGTGGTACTCAGTCCATGAGAGACTGGATGGCATGAAGGTGGCTGTGACAGCACTAATCCTGTAACACGGGATTTCTCTGCCCATGGTGTGAGGTTATGTCAAACCTCCTTTGTAGAACCACCAGAGGATCTGGTTGGGGTTTTATCCAGATTTCAAAATCTTTTGAATGGGAGAAAGACACCCCCGTGTGCTTTTAATGGCATTTTCACTCTCTTAAAAGGCAGCAAATTCTTGGCTTTAGCCTGATGAAAACAAACATTTACCTTGATTACAAGAACATCCTCAGTTTTGCCAGCCTAAGCACTTTATAACTCCTCAGACCATGAAGCAGAACTGCTGCCAAGAGAAAATCCTCCCCTACTGAGAACAGAGGTTGCTCACAGCGCTGATCTCAGCTGTGTGGCACAGCTCCATCTGAGGGGGCAGATCCAGCTCTAAAAGGTCTCGTTCTCTCACCTTATGCAATTTCTATGCTTGTGACCTTTATTGATGCCTTAACCAATTACTCTCTGCCTCTTCATATGGTATTCCTAAAGCTGGTGTCAGGTACTGTAAGTCTACCAGCACGATAAATCACAAAACATGTAATTAGAATAAAGTACTACATTTACTTTATATCATTACCTTCTTTGTTGTCGTAGGAGCCACTGTAGATAGAAGCCAGGGTAAACAAGGTGAAAATGACAAAAGCCAGCAAGATGAAAGCTAGTTCAAGGTTTGTGAAGGGCAGCTCCATGAGCTGCTACTGCTTCGCCTAGGAAAAAGTGTAAACGTTTACTTATCTGACTGGCTGTGGAAAGGGACTGCTCTCAGTGGAGAAGTTCAGTCTTGACTCAGGAGGATACTAGATCCTGGTCAAACTGGTTAAGTAACTTTGGTGGTTAAGAGGGAAACAATGCTGCTGGCTCATACAAGAATGTAAGCTCAAACCCTTTTTACCAAGAACTCAGAATGTGCTGTTGCTCTAGGGGACACTTATGGCAGTCACTAAAGCAAAGTTGCACTTGACTATATGTGCAATACGTAATAAATACAGCTGTATGCTATATTTATTTTATATGTTTTTGTGTGCAGTGCATTTAATGACAGAAACGTATTTGGACTCTGAAAGAGTAATAAAAACCCACTTACTAAAACAAAAATTGTCTATAATGATCTGTAGGTAAGCACAGACTTTTTTTAAATAGAAAAACTGCTAGAATATAAAATCCCCTGCCTTCTGTGTACTGGGAAGTTTAAAACATATGAGAGAAAGCCTGAACATTACCACCAAATTGCTAATCAAATTCCAGTCAATAGTTCAGGAATTCTGAAGTCAGTGGAAGTTTACAGTGTTCAGCTGCCCCTAGGATTTAGCTCTAAAAAGCACTCTCCCAGAAATCTTAAAACCAAGGAGTCCAATACGTTTCTATGGAGTTTTGCGGGGGAGGAGAAAAAAAAAACCATTAAAGAGAAAAAAAAAAAAAAAAAAGAAAAAAGACAACAGCTTTTAAGTAAAGAGAAGCTGGCACTTACTGATTGCCAGTGATTTGTGTGTATGTATTCCATTGGGTTTTCTTCAAAAGCGTCCCAGTTGTATGAAATGGAGTGAGTTAATCACCCGAAGCTGGAAGGATCTCATGTAACCTGATTCCCTGAAGTTTTTCGGGTGCTGCCTTGCTCTCAGCAGGTACAGCCCACGTCAGAGCAGGGGGTGGTGAAAGTGGCAGGAGAGGCACAGCTCAACACGTGTTTCTCCTGTACCTGCCTCCAGGATGCTGCCAAAAAGCAAACTGAAAGCACACAAGTGCTAGCAATGCCTTTGGGGTTGCCAAGACTGAAGTTTGCACCTTGTAAATCGTGTTGAATTTTAAGCCGTAGTGAAATATTAGCATGGTTTTAAACAAGACTAACAAGTATAAGAAACCCAGCTCAGAAAATGTATCAGCAAGAACTTTGAAATTCAGGTTTATGCTGATATAAGCAATAAATATTAGAATGGTATCACCATGTCAGCAAAACCCAAACCTGTATAGGTGCAATTTATATGGAAAAAGATCCTTTTGAAGGATCTGTCTGATCAACCAGTGAGTTTTTTTCCTGTTGAATCTTGGTTTGAAAAACAAAACCACCATTTTTACAAACTAAAGCATCAGCCACCTTGGATTGCATTAGCTACCTGTTAATTAAAAGGGATCTCTAAACTATATTTTTTAATATTTTGATTGTTTTATTATTTTAAAATATAAAATATTTTGACATTGTTATTTCTGATCTTTTGTATAATGATCTAAGCAGGTATATTTACACAGCAGGCAAAGGAATGATGCTTATGAAACCCCATGTCACAGACTACATAAAATACAACCACTCTTAAATTAGGAGAATGTGGACATGATTTGAATGTTGTCACATCCAGTGTATCTTTTGTTGTATCACCTTTGCAACAAATATTTCATTGCTAACTATTATAAATCTCTCTACTATTTCTAGGAGTGGAAGGATAGTTACACATACCTCAACTTCTTTGTCTATATTGTTTGCCCCATTTTATTAAATAAACTCAGGATTACCTATTCCAGTCACAGGAAAACTTACACCTGTGTATACATTGAAAAATCTGACTGTATTAATGCTTTCTTGCTCTTTTCAACAGATATTTATATATCTGCCTAAAGTTAGATGTAAATTCAAAACTTACAGCTTTTCCTGTAAAGAGAGTTAAATTCTTCCACTTTTCTCATCTCAATAAAGTTGCTAAATCTTTCACGCTCTGCTTAACTGATAGAAATAAATTCATGTGCAGTTAAAGGAGGGGCCTGTTCCCTGAAATCATGCTACAGTTGATGAGAGGTTTTTTATATAATAGCCTGCAATTTCTTTAAGCAAAACTGATGTATTTTGTATTGCTGGGCATATGTGTAGTACATCCATTTATATAAATGAATATTTTACCTATACATCATTAAATACTTAAATACCAGTCTGTCGTGGTCTGGCCCTAGCCAGCAGCCAATCCCCAAGTGGTTGCTTGCTCACTCCACCACCAGCAAGATTGGGAAGAGAGCCAGAAGGGTAAAAGGTAGAAAACTCGTGGGTTGAGATTAAGACAGTTTAACAGGAAAAGCAGAAACTGTAGACAAGCAAAGCAAAACAAGGATTCACTGCTTCCCATGGCAGGCAGGTGTTGGGCCATCTTCAGGACCCCATCACAGGTAACAGACTTGGGAAGACAAACTCCATCATTCCCAAAATCCTCTCCTTCCCCCTTCTTCCCCCCACTTCATACACTGAGCATGATGTCATATTGTGTGGGAAAGTCCCTTTAGGCAGCTGGGGCCACCTGTCCTGGCTGTTGTAAATTAGCATCATTTGCTAACTTAAAGCTGCTGGAGGACCTGAAGAGCAGTTTCTACAGTGAATTAGAACCTGATCAGTCATGTGCTGTGGAAATAAAGGAGATAGTTTATTTAAAACTTCTTAGTTATTTATGCAGCATAGGTATGTGCCTACTCATTAGCTCAAGAGTGAACCAAAATAGAAAAAAAATAAATGAGATACTGTGAAAAAGGTAAGAGCAGGGCTGTGGAAGAAACAGCCAAAGCATTGCCAGTAGAAAAATGTTGCCAAATGAATAAATGACAACGTGTATCTATCAGTGTATATATCAAAGAGAACACAACCTTTGGACTTACCTATCTGTAGCTTCCTAGTTATCTCAGTACATCCTAAGTTCATAATGGGTATGTCCTAGATTCTTGTTTGTTGAAACTGCTCATTTTGTTTCCTTGAGTTTTAATCTTATCAAGGCATAACTTAACTCAGGTATGTTAGCTGTGAGAAATGCAATAAGGTACAACTTTAATATGGTATATTGGAAAATACCAGACCCATTTAAAGTAAGACATTTATTCACTTCATAGGATCTACCTTTATTAACAATTACGTAAAAATTATATTATAGAGATAAATTTGGTTTTCTCCCTAGACGTTGCTGCTCCTGTGGTTAATGATTTCGGAAAGCTCGACTGACAGCTTATATCCTCCTTTGTTATCTCAGTAAAGAAGTAAGACAACAATGTTAGTGAGTCAGCAAGGAATATATAAAAGCTCTTGCTAAATGATAATTATAAAAAAGGCAGTTGTATAGTTATAATGCTGTTACAAAAAATGTTGACATTTTTCTAAATCTGCCTTTTTCTTACCTATGTTAGCAGCTAGACCATGTTCAGTTCAAAGGCATTTTCTCTTTGTAGAAACTGCTTGTGACAGGTAGTGTTTCTAGCTATCCTTTTGTGGGATTTTTTGGTGTTTTGTGTGTGTGGGGTTTTTTTTGTTGGTTTGTTAGTTTTCTTTTGGTTTAATGTTTTGTTGTTGTTGTTGTTTTAGTCAGTTGGTTGGTTTGGGTTTTTTGTACTCTGGATGTTGTGGCCAATGTCTTTAATATTAAATGAACCCATGTGACTTTAACTTTGCTGTCCACACCTTCCATGTTTTAACTGGCTAAGGAACTAGCACAGATTAAAAGGCAAAAGATCCTGCTGTATTTTTTATTTTTTTCTATGATATTGAGGATTTCATAGCAGCAGTGGAATGTAATTTTTGTTTGTAGAACTGAACCTAACGCTGCTGATTTACAGGAACAATTCAAAATATGAGTGATTATTTTTATTATTTTTTGTTAACAGCTGGAAATCCTCGTAGGTCAGATTGCAGATGAGGTCAATGTAAAACTTGATTACTTTTGTTCTGGCTCATAAAACAGCTGTACATGTAGTGCTAAGCACATCTTTATAATTTCTTTCATAGTGTTGAAGATATTTTCTGTGCAAGAATATAATGATAAATAATTGATACATATTCTATTACAAAGGAAAGACACATTCAGTGTGAAATGTGAACACACAGCAAAACTTCTGGAGTTGGGGGCAGGGTCTTCCTTTAATCAACATATGCTTGAAGTTGTTGATGTTTAAGACATTTGAAAGAGAAGATTTGTCAAAATTGAATTTTCTATACCCCAGTGACAGTCACACTACATAAAAATTTGGGAGGGGTTTGTACATGCTCAGGGCACCTTAGCTCTGCAGGCCAGGAGGGTGCAGCCCATCCCTGTGCATTTCTGTCCAGAGCACCCTGTGGTAAAACAGTGCCAGATTGTGACTGTCATTGTAGCCTGGGTTGTTCAGCTGGTTTTACTCCAGGAGGAATCAGTCTGCCAAGCTCTGCAACAGAAACATGTGCAGATGGAAGAGAAGGGTTTCTTTGTCCTCTGTAACAAATGCAATTGCAATATTGTAATAGTACATGTTTTAACCAAAGTGAACAGTGGAACTGCTACTTTTTGTGCAGTTATATTGAATTAATATGGAGAGGTATTTCCAAAAGTATGTATGTGTACTAAATGCTCTTTCCTTTAAAATACTATGAACAAAATAGCAGGCAATTGTACAGTTGTAATCTCTATACTCTCTTTAAGATGAAGACATCTCTTTAAGGGAAACTCCGCCTTTCAAACTTAACTAGGCTTAATTGGTCAGAGTTCTCCCAATTTTTAAAATTTATTTATTTATTTATTTATTTGCACTAGCAATGGTGATATGTAAATATCTTTTTATTTAGCAAAATAGCTAAAATAACTTTAGATTAAGTGAGCTATCAGGAAAAAAAAGGTTTCAAAATTTTCATCAAAATTCTATTTAAAATGCAATATTTTGTCCTTATTCAGAATCACAAAAATAAAAAAAGAGTGGTTGAAATATTTTTAAAATATCTTGTTTTTATCTTTTTTATTTATTTATTTATTTTTCCTTTTAGCAATGATTAGAAAAACTCTAACACCCATGTGTCTAAGCATCTGGATGGCTCTGCTTCAGCAGAGGTTCTTAGTGACTCAGACAGCCTTTCTAAGAGAAGCTGGATGATTTTTAATAAGCTATATATAAATTGTGGGATGCAGGATATGCCAACAACTGAAACCCAGCAATTTGCCAATTGTGATATTTGCAACTGTGATGTTGCTGAAGCATCCTCTCTCCTGTTTCCATTTCTTTGGTCTAGCTTTTTTAGGGTGTATGTATCATCCTTATCACACTACATTAGTCATGAACAGTCATTGAACAGCAGGACTGTAGCTCATTCTCTGCCCTTCCCTAGATTAGAGGTGAATTGCATGTGCAGCAGAGCCTGACTAGGGCTTGGAATTGTCCCTTTTCTCTGTAGAAACTTTGTTGCATATTTCTCTTTAGAAAATTAGTATTAAATAGGTGGTTCTAGGCTGTTCCTTGGGCAAAACTTGATAAGTTTTAGTAGCAGTACACATGATCTCTACATTACCTCAGTAAAAAACTAAACCAAAAATTTTGCAATTGGATAAAGACAACTTTCTGAATTCCCTTCAAGATCATATGTGTTGGGGTTTTAGGTTTCTCTTTTTCTTTTTTTAATAGAGAGAAAGAACTGAGGCCATATCAGAAAGTATGCATATTCTATCTTGTATGATATTAGCAGCCATAAAGAGGAACTACAAAATTTTCCATTCCAAGTCACTGCTAATTCCTCAATCCTTTCAATGTAAGTTAAAGAATATAGAATTATTACCTCATTTTGCAGTGCAGGACACTTCTAGCTTAAGCTGTATGAAGTGAGGTTGTGGCAAGGTGGGCACTTGGCCTTGTCTCCCAGGCAACTAGCAATAGGCCAAGGGGAAATGGCCTCAAGTTGCACCAGGGGAAATTCAAGCTGGTTATTAGGAAATTTTTTTCACTGGAAGAGTGATTAAGCATTGAAACAAGCTCTCCAGGGAAATGGTGGAGTCACCCTCTTTGGAAGTGCTCAAAACTATGAGTAGACGTAGCCCTTCATGACGTGGTTTAGTGGCCACGGTGGTGCTTGGTACAGGTTGGACTCGATGACCTTGGAGGCCTTTTCCAACCACAGTGATTCTGTGAATCTATAATAAGAGCTGGTGTTCATCACTTTATGGGAAGCATGACTCACTTTCCAGTAAACATTTTTTTTTAACATAACTCGTCTGGATATGAAGTTTTATGGCCTGTACAATCAGCAGATAATCTTTACTTTGCCAAACCAGGTGACTTCTAGTCATCTCTACTGACATGACTAGAAAGATTATGTTTAATTTTCCATGGCCAGATTATTTATTTGTGCAGCACATCCTGTCTGTACAGTGGTTTCCTGTTTAAAGCCAGTTAAATGAAGTTAGGGCTTGCTAACAGCAAGTTGCACTTGGGTTCCTTTTTTCCCTTCTCTGTTTTCTCACAGTTGTCTAAAATTTGATTTTGCCTCACTAAGATTTGGAACTGAGAACACTTCACAGCATGGAGAACTCTGCAAGTATTTAACAACTTGAAATACACATGTACAGATACATTTTCATATTCACAAGCATATCCATATGCAATGCAAGTGACGTGTGTGTAGTACATAAAAACAGTATTTGAGTTAGTAAGAGGATGCGTGTCAGCTTTTAAGCTCATCATATCACCAAAATGAAGAGGTAGGAAAAAAAGCCTGAAAGGTGAATTTTCTTTAGAATTAGAGGCAAATGACTGAGGTTCAGTTTGACTCATCTGCTTATCTCAGGGGTGTGGAGAAAATGTAAAGTAGCTGGATATGGGCAGTAGTGAACCCTTCTATGCTGTCTAAAGGCAGTGGAAATAAGATATCTGCTTGCTTTATTTGAATAGCCAATAATGAGATATGCATGCTGATTTGATTTTACAGTTCCATATGTATTTGTTCAGCTGAATCCCTCCTTTTTGTTTTATAAAACAAATACTAACACTGTCAACATTTTGAGACAACTAGCTTCCAGTTCTGTACAAGTTTAAAGGAGAAATTTTGGAAAGATGTTTTATGCCTTGTACCAATGGACTCTGTAGATTTCACCTTTCTGACTGTTTAAATGGTGGTATTTTTCTGTTAAATGATTATGAAGGGGACATTATGATTTATATGCTTCTCTAGGTGCTTAAAATATTCAAGGATGTGAATTAACCTGTCAGATTTTCTACTCTCTTTCATTTATTGCCATCCTCCTAGGTAAAGTAAATAGGAAAAGTAACATTTGACATAAACATATACTTTATAGTTTTCTCAGAATGTTAAAAAAGTTTGTAATTCTTAGTATAACTCAGTCTTATGTTTTTATATGTATTTTGATATCTCAAAAGGAAGTCTGTCTGCCATTTTCCCCAACTGAAAGCTTTAAAAGTTCCCTCCTATATCAGTCTATGGGACTCTAATATAAATACATGGTATTTGATTTTTAAGGAGTTTGGGACAGCCTATCAATTTGGGCTCCTTGCTAAGCTAAGCATCCCAAGGTTAATGTGCACATTGAAATCAGTGGAGAAAAAATAGAAGCAGCACAAATTATTTTCATATTCCTGTTTCCCTTTTTTGCCTCTTTATATTGCATATAGCCTGTTCTGACCAAAATGCTTGTCCAAGGTCTTCCTGGGCTGAAACTTTACAGCTGTAAGGAACTTGATCGAGATAGCTGGGGCTTCAGATTGGCTGCAGTTTTAGCTCTGCTGCTGAATCTCTGATAGTAAATTTGTTAGGAGGTGGTTGCCCTCTTTTGTATCTGGCTGAGCAGATCCTACATGACTTGTACAAAAATACACAACTGGTGATGTTTTAATGGAAAAATTACTACAGCCAAGTACTAGTCCAAGGTATTTTTTAGAAAAACCAGTTTCCATTTGACCCAGTTTACAGATAATTCTGTGTGCAGTCATAATTTTTGAGCTATTATCGTGGAAAGTGGTACCAAATAAGCTACAAGAAGGAGTGGTAGTAGGATACGTATGTTGGTGCAATAAGCACCTTCGGATGTCTGTTGTGAGAAATAACTATTTGGATCTGATGAAAGCTGTTCTTTTCCTTGAAGACAGCATAGTCTCAGTGTTAGCTCCTTTGAGGGAGGCAAATCAATAATGACACAATGTAAGGACACCTACTTTCATGCAGACAGCTATAGGATTTAGGTAATATTTTAGGAACACACTATGATTTGCAAAGCTTCTTGACACTGACTAATTCATTCAAGTTACTCTGAGCTATCTGTATTCATCTTTTCAGTTTGGCTTTTATGCTAATACCTTAGAGTTTATATCATATATAATGTACCTATAATTGCAAATTACCAAACCAAAATTGAAGGGGATAATAAATGCTGTATTCCTACAGTACTGACAGGCTCTGATCAGCTGAAAGGGCAGCGTGTACCCAAGTAACCTTCTGCCTGCAGTATGTAATTTCCATTTTCAATTAGTTTACATTTTGGGCAGTGGGTGAAGTTTGGTTGTGCAGATGCCTACTAGGGATCTAGTTTTGCTCCTTGGTTTTGACCTCTGAGAGATGAAAGTATGTAATACTAGAAGAAATGTTTATTCAGGAAGCTCAGGTTTCATAATGCCCACAGACACTACTGATTTTGTTTTCCATGATCTTTACTTAGGGAATTAAATTATCTTAAACCAATATAGTGATATTTTTCTATTTGCTGAAATCAGAGAATGGCATTTTAATTATTTTTAAAAGGGAAAGAGACAATTTGGTATTAATTAAAGGATGTATTTATTGGAAACTTATTACAAATAATTTTGGTAATTGTATGAAAAGAGAAATGAATTGAAAGAGAAGCAGTTGCTTAAGAGCTCTGTCCATATACAAGCACTTTGGAAAAAATTCCAAACAAAGATATTGTCCTTAATAAACCTTCATAAGTACAATTTTATATATTTATTAAAACATTCATGTTATTGATAGCAGTCTATTTTACTTTACAACCTTCTGACTTTAATGATTGGATTTTTATTTATATTGAATTATTATTTAACAAGAATATAGGACTCTTCCCATAATTCTTGGAAAAATCCATGTTTATGTGAACAATCATGTCATTGCATGTGTTTTCCTTCCTAACTTCCAGGTTTTCTGCATTTTTTGAATAGCTAGGACAATCGTACACATCTCCAAATTGGAGGACGCAATGCACTTGACATTCCCTAACTGCTTAGTGAAGCATTTTCACTCATAAAATAATGGTCCAGTCTAATGCCTCGGAATGAATCCAAATTCAGTACAACATCACAAGAGGGAGCCCTTGTCAACACCAAAAATTCACTACCTGATTTTGCAGAGCTGCATGGATCACTTTCCAGGTCAAAAGCAGGTTCTATGCACTGGCAATGAAAGTTTCACACTAGAAGAGAACCTTCTCAGACAGGTTATATACAAACTGATTTTTTTACATAGGAAAAAAGCCAGGAAGGTGTGGTTGAGCATTGGAATAGGTTTGAATTGTACTTTTTAAATTGCTACTTTTTCTATTTTTGGATAGCAAGGGATATGAGGCTAGATCATTATCACTCATTAATTTTTAAAACCTGTTACTTTTATTCTCATGAAAATTCAATATTACTCTCTTGTGAGTTGCAAATTATCAATAGGAAATGAATCTTTGTCAGTTTAAAGGGATTAATACATTCTGAAATATGTGTCTTAAAAAAATTCTTTAATTATTCTTTTTTCCTATTTTAGGCACTGCTTTGCAGGGGAAAGTATTCAGTCTGGTTTAAGTTTGTTTTGCTTTGAGTGAACAAATGATATGTCTTACAGTGTTATGGTGCTATCATGGTGAAAGTCTATATGATGTTGACTGGAGGATAACCTTTAAGTAGAAAAATATAGTTTTAATTTGCAGGTTTCTTAAACATGTGTGTCTAACCACTTTAATAAAAGAGGTCTTATGCTAAAAATTTCAGATAGATCCCAAGTATTCTACCACAAGTCAGAGCATTTCCAGGCTAAATTAATAACGATTCTGTGTCTTCTCTCTGTCTGTCAGTAAGGTTTCTTCACCACTAAGTGCTATTTTTCTTCAGGAAGTTAAGGTAAGGTTCCTAAAGAAAGCAGTGCTTTATCTTTTTGAATATTTTAATGCACTGTCTGTGTAAAAATGAACAGGATGAAAGGGGAAAAAAAAAGGAAATGTTCTCCAGAAGTCCAGAGTTTTGGTTGTTGTAGTTGTTTGCTTGTCTGTTTTGGTTTTTTAATAATGATTCATTGAATGTATCTGATGGAATGATTTTCTCACCTAGACACACTTCAAAACCAAACTGGACCAAAATGCTAGTGCAAAAATCACTGATAATGGAGCACACTGGCACAGTCTGAAACTGATGTATTGCAGCAGCTCCTGGGAAGAGATTATGCTGCTTTCTTCTCTGTTTGAGGAAATGATGATGTTAATATGGCTACAACCTACAATATAAATTTAAATAAATTGAAATGTTACTCTGTATATACAGTAGAAAGTTTAGTTTTAAAACATTCATCATATAGCAACTTCATTTTTCTTTTCACACTTTCACACAATACAAGCAAGTTTGGAATGTTGACTTGTGTATTAAATATTCATTCTGAGGCAAGGAGATTTAGTGATACAATTTCTTTTGCTATTTATGGGAGATTATGTGGTTAACCCCTGTTCAGGTCACGATTAATTTACTTTTTTGTTTCTGAAAGGATCATTTTTAGTCTAGGAAAGTTAAAGACTACAATTCATTGAATTGAAAAGAAAAAGAATTAAAAGTGACTTCACTTAGAGATAAAAACCATTTTGAGAAAAAATTGTTTTGACATTCTCAAGGAAATGTTGAAGCCAAGTAAATATTAAATAATTGACAATTTTAGCTAAGCTTCTTGTGTGCAATCTTATATTTTCTCCTTCTTTTCCAGAAAATACGTACATTTCCCCACCACTTTTTTAAGATAGAACTGTTTGGATGTGGGATCTGATTCTTTTAGGTGACCATTTCAAGTTGAATTGCAACATTAAAAT